CCTTTGATGACGTCACATGACCTTACAGCTGCCCAACAGCAAAACAGACCTCAAGGTAGTGAAGGTTGATCGTATGTGAAGTCATGTATGGTATATGGGGCCATTCCGACCCGTTTTAGTGGTAAAAAACAGGGAGTTGATTTTTCCCCCATTGACTTATAATGGGGAGGTCGCGAAATTGACCTGACCCATGGGCGTAGGAACCTCACGAAAAGTGGGGGGGCCAGCTAAACTTCAATGTCTCTTTGTGGGAGCCCCAATACCCCTATGAAGAAATTCTTTGCAGTTTTGTGCTCATCTCACCTTGCTAAACCATTTCCTGCTCTTAGTTTTGTAATTAAAATAAAAATTGAAGATTTTACTTAAAAAATGGCTGAAAAGTGGGGGGGGGCCATGGCCCCCCCGGCCCCCCCTGTTCCTACGCCTATGACCTGACCTTAGGTCACCGACATCAAAATTCCGAGATATACAAATTGTAGCTACTAATGACCTAATAACATCCTGCGACTTTCAAAGGCCTCCGACATCTACTGTAGCTCTGGCACGGTGACAAAGTTGCAAAAAAGTGACTTGAGGTTGGGTCATTCAAAGTGACCTGGTGACCTGACCTTAAAAGTTAGGAGGTTCAAACTTGCACACCATGTGTAAAATTGATGAGAAAATAGTCATACCAAATTTCGCGGCGCTACGCGCCGCGGTTTTCCCGCTATCCGCGAAAAACCTCAGGGGGGGCGGATATCCGCCCCCCCCGTCGGTGCGCGGGTTAAAGAGGTTAACCGACATCATTTCAAGTAAACGACCTTAATCGGAGTTTCACGTGACCTTGGCACCCACAGCAATCAATGAGAAACATTAAATATTTATATTATATTGCACATGTTGTCACGTCCCTTATCACATAACGACTACGGAAACACTCAGAAGATGTGCGCTGACTGACTTTCAATCGCTCATCTGGCTAACATCATGATCAGTCACAGGTCAAAGGTAATTTGGTTCAGGGATTTCAAATTCTCGGGGAAGGTGCAAAATAATAAGGGCTATTTACTTTTCCGGGAAGCTGTAAAATTGATTATCTCCAGGGCACCAAAGAATCGTCGCAATCCTTAGCTTTTACGCGACTTAGGTATTGGTGAAAAACAGAGGGCGGGGTCTACTTAACTCTATTTGTAGGTATGTGTGGTGAGGGTTAATATTCATTTTATCTGTGTTGATGAATGAGCGACAATTTCTACATGATCTGAGACTAGTCCACTTGAGTATGTTTTTCTCACGGACAATGGCAATACAATAACAATGCGAATAAATAAAACGTTTCGGACAACAACGTGCCTTCGTCAGTGGAGAAAAATAAGTGTAGGTTTAACATCGATTATTAATATATGCGGCACCGTCTCGGTATGGCCAGCCGGGTTGCCGACAAAATATACAAATGTTTATATGCTTCCATGATGTGCTTAAAAAAACTGCTGAAAATATATCTGAAAAAATAAAGATAACTACTTCATCGATTTTATCGAGAGATAACACCTATACCTATTATATGTAGTGACTAATATCTTGCCACTGACGAAGGCACTTTGTTGTGCGAAACGTCTGGTTTTATTCGTATTGTTATTGTATTGTCATTCCCTGTGAGAAAAAGCATAACGCTTCAGTTCTAACCATAAGAGTGAAGCGGCTTAATGTAACACTTCACTGTGTATACGAAACCCCTAAGTCCCTAAAAATAATCCTATTTACCTACAGCTTTTAAAAAGATACAGCTTATACAGCCTACTGCTTAGGCATACAATTTTTTCTGCAACAAGACAATATTCATTTATCTCCACAGAATATGTTAAAATAGTGCTGCTGAAGTTCACTTTCAAAGCGTCGCCTCCACGAATTCCACAGCTCTCGAGTGCCATTTTGGATCACGGAACATGGCTGGGCGCGGGACAGGTCGTGTGCGAGCTTGGACGGACCACGTGACCACCTCCTGCCCTCCCCTTCATTCCCGTCCCCTTCCCCAGCAGGGCCTCCGATCTAACCGCGCCCCAGGCAGTCGGCTCGGTCCGACCTTCACTGGTCGAGCCCCGGTGCCGCCTGCGTTTGTGCCGGGTGCAAAACTGGAGCAGTTACTAGTGCCGGAACTAGTAATCAGCACGACCATCGTCAGATGGCAGGAGTGAATGGAATAAGCGGTTCCAGGTTTTAGAAGGAATGGGGCAGGAAGAAGCGCTGAAAACAAGGTTTTGCTGATACAGCCATAAAACGTTCATTAAATTAGGAGAGCAGCACATCAGTTTAAAGCCCTTCAGATGGTGGTTTTAATAAGCACACAATCATTTCCCAATTCGCCTTCAACGGTGTCACAGGCCAAGAATACGCTGAAATACTAGTGTGTACAGAAGCAACTGCGGGTCCCTGTACCCCCTCGCTCCCTTGCTATGTCACTGAATCCAAGTGATTAGGGACCTTTTAGGTAATCAGGGGCGTTTCAGATGACCGGGGGTTTTCAATTGATCAGGGGCCCACCAGGTGACCATGGGCCCCTCTGGTAACCAGGTGCCCCTCAAGTAACCAGGTGCCCCTCAAGTAACCAGGGACCCCATCAATAACCAGGGCCCCTCAGTAAACGGGGGCCACTCAGGTAAGTGTAGGAGTCCCGCAGATAACCAGGGCCGGCAAGGTTTCTCAGGTCCGTTTTTGACAAGGCTCTTATTGACTCAGGTGCGAGCCCTTTGCCATCAGAAGAGGGCCCTTTCAGGCCTTTTGAGGGCCGTTTAACGTCTCTTGAGTTCCCATTGAGGCCTTCTAAGGGCCCTTTGAGCAGTCGAGGGGCCTTTGAGGCCTTTTGAGGGCCTCTTGACGTCAGCTGAGGACCGTTGGACGCCAGCTGAGGATCGTTTTTGGGCCTTCTGATGGCCATTAGACGCCAATGGATAATGACCCTCTGACACCAACTGGGGCCCTCTGACCCCAGCTAAGGGCACTTTAAGTTTGACGCTAGCTCAGGGCCCTCTGACATTAGCTGGGGGGGGGGGGCTCTGACGCCAGCTCAAGGCCCTTTGACGCTCTTTAAGGCCTTCTGAGGGCCCCTTGAGGCTTTCTAAGGGCCCCTTAAGGTTTTTTGAGGGCCGCTTGACGCCAGCTGAGGACCGTTAGACTCCAGCTGAGGACCGTTTGAGGCCTTCTGATGGCCATTTGGCGCCAGCTGGGGGCCATCTGGCACCAACTGGGGGCCCTCTGACACTAGCTAAGGACCCTTTAGAGCCTTCGGAGAACCGTTTGACGCAAGGTGAAGGGCATGACCCTCTGACGCCAGCTCAGGGACCTTTGACACCCTTTAAGGCCTTCTGACGTCCGTTTGACGTTAGCTGAGGGCCCTTTGAGGCCATCTGAGGGCCCTTTAAGGCCATCTGAGAGCCCTTTGAGGTCATCTGAGGGCCCCTTAAGGCCATCTGAGGGCCCTTTGACACCATCTAAGGGCCCTTTGACGCCAGATGAGGGCCCTATGACGCTAACTGAGGGCCCTTTGAGGTCATCTGAGGGCCCTTCGAGGCCATCTGAGGGCCTTTTTAGACCATCTGAGGGCCCTTTAAGGCCATTTGAGGGCCCTTTGTACACGGTCTTCAGTGGTCTAAGGATTAGTTAGAGGCCCATTTGAGGCGGCCTTCGGCCGCCTCAAATGGGTTCGAGGCCATCTAAGGGCCTTTTTAGACCATCTGAGGGCCCTTTAAGGCCATTTGAGGGCCCTTTGTACACGGTCTTCAGTGGTCTAAGGATTAGTTAGAGGCCCATTTGAGGCGGCCTTCGGCCGCCTCAAATGGGCCCCTATTCCTTCGAGCTGGGCCCCCCAACTCGAATGGGGGGGGGGGGCACGGGCCCGTGTGCCCCCCTTGTGTGCGCCCTTGGAATCATGTCAAAAATCTAATTTGATTGGTTTTTGGTACATCCTGTTCCCGAGACTGAATTAGGAACGACTTGATAAATTGCATGTATTTAATTTAATTTCATCATAGACCCCAAAGGCATGCACACTTAGATGGAAACCCTCAATTTCATGGCACTCCTGACATAGCCTATAAGCCAGATGGACTGGTGAAGCCAAGCGTTGCTGCCGTCCCGCCGGATCACGCCGCGACGCGGCGGCTTAGCGGGCGGCTGGCGTGTTAAGCGGCACAGTCTACCTTCAGGCGCCGTCGCTAGTGCCATCTAGGGACAAACGGATTTACTACTGCTGGGGCGCGCCGCTGCGTAACTGAGCGCGGCGGGAAAGCGCAGTTACGAAGCAACAAAACTAAACCACCTATCCAGCCCCGTGTATTTGATTGTTATGTGCATGTTCCAGCCTAGTCTGCCTACCCGTGCTATAACCCACCCCGCGCATGGCGACTCCTTGGTGCTGTACTGAGCTGACAGTCCGTTTTTGTTTGATGTGTTGGGTTAGGCCCTTTCGGTCTGACGAGACCATTTCAGAGCCGGAAGGATGGTAGGAATTAGGGGGAGACATTGGTCTGGGCAGGCACCCTAGTGAGTCATCGGGGCTGAGCCCGTCAAGAGGACAGGCCACCCAGCCCCAAGGTACTCACTGCACCCGTCTACGGGATGCGCTCCCTCGGGAGCAGCGGTGCCGTTCCAAGGCAGCAGCCCGCATGAGATAAAGTTGCCTGTCCAGCCCGGAGGGGTTGCGGCGTGGAGAAGAAAGATTTCAGTATCCTGAGGATAGAAGCACGGAACGGGTGACAGCCCGTCTCTGTGCCAAATGCGGCCCGCGATAACCACAGTCAGTGAAGCGCGTAAGGGATTGCTGTCTCCTCAGAATCCGGGACCGGGCAACACGCGAGAGTGATGGTCGGATACAGTCAGCAACGCTATCCGGGTGTCTCCTCAGTCCGCACTCAGCCTGCTTCTCCCGTTGACCGGCTGCATGCTTCATGGTTTTGTTTCTCCCCGTTACAGTTTCTTTCGAATACATCGTCGAAGCATCAGCCCCGCGCAGGTAAAACAGACACTTCGCTCCGATTCTGTATTGAACCAGAGGATGACAGTGAAAAGTGACAATGGGGCTGAACATAATGCCACTACCCTACGTTGTACATACATCCCGCTCGGCGGCTGCAACTGCTATCATACTCGTACTTGTCACACACCACCAGATGGAACATCCGCGCGGCATTGGAACAGACCTGCTTCGTCGGAAAACACAGGTTGGCGGGACTTCCGATTGTACCCTGATGGACTAATCACCTCGGCTCGGAACGACAAGTCAGGATAGCTCGGCGACCAGACCGTATGGCAGATGGTAGATCACACGAAATCGCGACAACTTCACACATCAGTCGCTATCTTGGGATGCAAGTTTTGATGACCTCGTGACGACATACAATGCTCAACGGGTTACCCATTGTCTTCTGAACCAACAAATGAGATGGAAATCCGCATTTGAAACAAACTGAAGCAAATAATACCCATCTTATCCGCCGGCCGGCATCTGTCACTCAGAAATCTTACCGTCACACAGATATCTCACCCGTGTGACAAAATCTGATATTGCCACGCCCATAGCGCCAATGTGACAATATCAGGGACGATGTTGGCAGCATAACATCACTGTGGGTACACTGCAAGACGACAGCGGCCCGCCCTGCCGTCCGCTACCCGCCCGGCCCGCGGCGCCCCTCCGTTCACTGGAACACAGGCGGGGGAGGGGGCGGCTGCTGCGGCGGCGGCTGCGTTGGCAGCGGCGGCGGCGGCCGGCTGTAGGGCAGAGCCGCGTGCGCCTGGCCGCCGCGCCCCCGGAACACGGGGCCGACCGGAGAGGAATAGTCACCCCCTCCTCCACCGCTGGCGTTGTGATAGGTCGCGTTACTGAACTGGCCGGCCTCTGGCATGTTAAAGTCTCCCTGGTCGCCCATCTCGAGACCGGCGCTGGCGCTGAAGCCGGCCGCCGCGCCGCTGTAGCCGGCCGCAGCGCCGCTGTAGCCGCCGGCGCTGGCGCTGTAGTCGCCAGTGCTGCCCAGCGCCGCGCCGCTGTAGCCGGGGTCGCCGCCGCTGGCCGGCGTGTAGCCGCCGCTGGCCGGCGTGTAGCCGCCGCTGTAGCCGGGGTCGCCGCCGCTGGCCGGCGTGTAGCCGCCTCCGTTACCGATCCAGTCGGTCCCCCCGCCCTTACCAAGCCAGCTGGCCCGGCCGCGGCCGATGCCCCGCGCCAGGCCGCCGCCGGAGAGGCCGCCGGTGGTCAAGCCGCTGTTGCTGGTGCTCAGACCGCTGCTCAAGCTGACGCTGTTGAGACTGCCGCCGGCCAAGCTGCTGTTCGTGTAGCCGCTGCCTTTGAGGCTGCCGGCACCGAAACTGGCGCTGGCGGTACCGGCGCCGCCGCTGGTGTACCCACCGCTGTTGTACCCACCGCTGGTGTACCCATCGTTGTTATACCCACCGCTGTTGTACCCAGCACTCTTGAGCAGACCGCCGCTGGTAAAGCCGCCGCCGGGTCCGCCACTGGTGCCCCTGCCGCGGCCGCGGCCGCCCCTGTCACGAGTGGAGTACGGCGTGCCCCGGCCGCGAAACCCTTCCCCGAAGCCGCGACTGTGGGACACTTTGTTGCCGGCAATCTTGTTGGCGTGCTTCTTCGAGTTCATGTGCTGAAACAAATGGAGCGTCAGAGTTTTGTCATTCCTGGCGAGTCACATCCTTTCCCATGAGTAACATTTATATTTCATAGAAAATAAACTTTGCTGTTCTGGTTTGACAAGTTCTTGAAGTATCTGGCACGGATTCGACGATCAAGTTTAGCTACACTCATAGTGTATAAAATGAATACCTATGTCGCTAACGCTCCATCAAACATAACTTGAGGCTATGTTCCGCAATAGTTCCAGTGAGCGTTCACTCATCGCCTGCTACGGAAGGGCTGTTTAATCCTTTTTATATCCACGACAAAAACATGTTTGCGCATTCGTTTTTATGTGTGTCCACTTCGTATGTTTGCATTGATGACATGGGCAATATGAAAATAGACAAACACTGTTCGAGCTACTCAGGTTACGAAGAAACATTTGTGTTTCTCCGAAAGTTCTATAGAAAATGCTGATCATTGAGCGAGCAACAGAATTGTTCTCCACGACTAAGATATTAACAACAAATTGTGAGTCCTCCCGTCACATGCCGGTCCCGTAGCTCAGTCAGTAGAGCGTTGGACTTCGCGTGGTGAGAGCACGCGTTCCCGGTTATAACAGTCCGGGCTCGAAGCGCGAAGGGCGTTTGAAGTTTGAGCCTCCTGACAGGTATGGTTGCGGTTGGTTGCAGGCCGCAGTCAGGCGAAGTCAGTGAGGGGACCGGCCGTGCGCGGCTATGTGTGCACGTTGAACTTTGGACTCCAAATTCTGCCATAGAACCGGAATTGCGTGATCGGAGGGTAGAGGGCAGGGCCAACGCAACAAGCTTCGCTTAGCGGTGGCTCTGTCCTTGTGATTCCTTCCCATCAAAAGGTTCGAACTAAATTTAATGCGGGAGTTCACACAACGTTTTGGTTGAGACAATGTGCATAATCAAAATTGATCTAATTCGCTTACACTAAGGATGATAATGTACTTTTGTTTTCATATTCTACCGATGTGTAGCATATCGAGTAAATCATTTATGAATTTTCAAAGTTTAAAGAACATATAATTTTAATGTAAAAGGGGCGCCGTTGTCGTAAAAACTAAACGCAATCTTAATTCTTAAAAAAGCACCTATATTCAATACTTAATAATAATACATAAAACTCCTGGAATATATTTCATGCCAATGAACTTACAGCTAATTCAGACAGAACTGATAAAACTTCGGTGCCGACTGACGCAATACCAGCCTTGAGCATCAACGAACTTTTAGGTTCGCTTGAACTTTCGAAACCCGTCCAGGCGAACACATCACCAAACAAACCGTGTGATGCTTTCATCAAAACTTTTCCAAACCAGGCCTAAATTATCCTGTTTTGATAGCTACGCCTATTGGTTTTTTTAAAGGTCTGATATTCTAACAATCTACCCCATGTTTGGATATGAATGATTTGCTTAAATGAAATGATAACGTGACTCGGACACACCCGCACATCCGTTAGCCAAGTTATTGAGACCTACGTTCAGCTGTCTCAATGTTACACTACATATAAACGCCCTTTAAAGTTTCACATAATACATAATGACTCAAGGCTTAAAAACAACACGCGACACTGCACCTACCAATGATGCAAGGTGTACAAAGCCCACAACACATTACTGGCTACTTATCAACGCCCGCCATAGACGGAGCCAATGTAACCGGCCCAACATTAGTAGCGAGTCGATGGATTTACCTGGTCGCGCTGGCTCTCCGAGTTGAGGTCCACATTGCACGCGACGCACTTGAAGGTCTGCACGGGCGGCTTGGCGGGCTTGCTGTCGACGGCGGTTTTCGGTTTTGCTGCAGCGGCTGTAAAAAGGCACGTTGAGATACAGGGGTTACGAGTGTTGAGATGAGGGGGTCACAAGCGGACTAGCCCCACAAACGGTTTTCTATAGAGACCAGAAGTCTGCAAGAAAACTAAGCAACATTACAATCGAAGACTAAACATTACATTACATTACAATTAAACAGGTACTCAATCCGTCAATATTATCGCGTGATAGCGACCAAGCATCACTGTCTCGCCGGTCGTGTATACAATTACAGACCCCGTAGCCACCCTACTTTCCACACTGTGTCCACCGCACCTGCAGCAGCTGTCCCAGCGGCGGGGGCGGTCCTAGAGACTGGTGTAGCTCCAGCGGCGGGGGTTGTAGCTCTAGCGGCGGGGGCCGTGGCTCCAGCGGCGGGGGTGGCTCCGGTGTCGGAGGCCAAGGCTGAGGGAGCGACGGCAGCGGGTTTGGCAGAAGTGGCCACGATCGGGCCCGCGGCAGCGGACGGCTGACTGCCCGTGCCGACACCAACTGCTACCGGCTGCCGGTCAGCCAGCACGATGGCACTGCCGCACCGCTTGGTCTTCTCGTTCATCTTGTGTCGGCTTCCTGCCAGGGCACAGGCAGATGAGTGATCAGATTCAACACACTTCATACATGACGGTCAAACGGACAGTCAAACCAGGCGTATAGGACATCTATAGAGGTCCCTCGTGCTCCGAAATCCCTCGAAACTGGTGTGAAATATCATGGTGAGCGGGGGTCGCATACGTGCCGCACGCTCGGACAATAAATAAGTGTTTTCCGATTTCTCACAGATTTCCCCTGGGTGTGAAAACATACCGCTGAGATGCATGGCCAGCTGTTGTGAAGAATTGAGCGTGATATCGCACAGGGCGCAGCGGAACATGCTGTTGATTCCGGTAGCTGCCGGGATCTTCTCTTTCAGATCAGATAGGATCTGTCGCGATTTCACCTGAAAGTGCATTGATGACATTAGGCGTATTCAACTGCGATACGTTTTTTTTTTTCATAACCAACACGTTAGCGCATAATTATTCATAAAAAGTACAAGGTGAAAGGTAATTTGTAAACTTGGATACAAGCTAAATTGTTACTAGCTTCGGATCTTATTTCGAATAGATCGAAAATGTCCGTCCGTAGCTCAGTTCGTAGAGCATTGGACTCCAGCGGCGAGAGCCCGGGTTCGAGTCGCTCCGTCGCCTGACGGGGTTAGTCTGCGGTTGGTGGGAGCAGCCGAAGTAAATGGAAGTCAGTTGAGTGGGACAGACTGTGTCGGCTTCGATGGGCCCGTTTTATCCACATTCTACCGTTGCCTGGAGCTGGAATTGCGCGATCAGACGGAAAGGGTCGAGGTCTACGCGACAAGCTCTGTTTACCGTGGGCTCCGGCTATCTCGATCCGCCCATTCAAACATTCGAAAAAAAACTTACATTGATTGCACAACAAAAGTAAGAAGTAGGAAAGTAGTGTGCTAGAGCACTTTGTTATATGTATAACAATATACAACTATGGCCTCCCAAACTTTCCTTTCAGTTGAAGACCAATCCTGGAAGTTCAATGCTTCAAATGTGCTGGGTATGCAATGAATGGAACCGAACAGAAGGAGCATTGTAAGCTTTGCAGTAGTAGACTTACTGCCTTGGCATGTTTGGCTCCAGCCAAGTGAGAATTCAGTTCGATGCTCCTATTGAAGTCCTTGGCGCACACCTCACAGTGCAGATTTGCCTGCTTGAACAGAAACAGAACAGTGGATAGGTACAGCTGCAGTCATAAACAAAAACACATGTATTCCAGATTTACAGCATTTGGTAAAAAGATCGAAAGTCGGTACAATGATCATTTGATCATGGTTCAGATGATTGACCAACTAACATAAACACCATAAGGAAAGCTTTTAGTACTTAAATGAATAGGCACATTAAAATGTATACCAGCTATGGATATAATTTTTATAAAACATCTCCCTGACACGAATCATATCATCTAGTAATAATAATTAATATAATAAGAAACGTATCTGTTTATTATCATCATCAAACTTCAGCAAACCTTTTGATTGGAAGCAGTCTGTTGACTTCCATTGTTGGGTGTAGTTCCTTGGCCCTGATGAGCTTGAGATGAAGGCTTTGAATCCATCCTGGAATGAATGAACACGAAGAAATATGAACGATCAGTAGGTACCTATGACATTAAATTACACTCGGTGCGGACGACGGATATATAGGTATGGAAGACCTCGCTGAGCATTGCTAAGCGTTGTGAAGTACTTAATCCTGCAAAGGGTTCCTGCCCACTGCGGGATTGACGGGAATGAGAGCGCGGAAGACCTGGCGAAACAAGCGGCCGCACTGCCGGAAAGGTCATCTTATGATTTTGCATTAACAATAACTTGAGGCGTCGGACGTGATGCGTGTTGATGAAAAGAGCCCATGAAAGGAGTCGGTGAAATCGTTCCCAATTTTGGGTACGCCGTTCCCATAATAAGGAACGCTGGCAGCGCCAGTGCACCAAAGTGTTCCCAAATTTGGGCACGCTGCCCGGGCGGCGGACTGCTTTAGTAATAGGGGAACGTTTGAAACTATGTTGGGCTTTACAATAGCAAACTTTTTCCCAACAATATTGAGACAAATGTCAGGAGGTTCACGATCATTTGATATTTTTATGGACGTCATTTAACGGTTCTTCTTCTTGTTTTAAATAATGCCCACATGGCGTTTTCATATTTGGGTTTTTCGTTCCCAAAAATGAGCACGCTTGACCATAGTTCCGCCTACTGAGAAGTGGAGTGTGAAATCTGCTGTGCAACTAGGCACCTAGCCCACAACCAGTCTGCAAAGTATGACAATATCGACGAGATCTCGTCGGTGCGGGCTTGATCGGCTGGTGTGGATTTGCCTTGGTGCTGTGCGGATTTAGTGAAGTGCGGTGTGGAATGAACTTAGTGACAGACATGACAGGGCAGATAAGATAGAAGAGGTAAATCAAGAAAAAAAAAACATTGTTGGAACATCTTCGACATCACGTAATTCAGTGTGCTCTCGGGTCCGAATGAGTGTGCAGTGGTCAGAACGGACGGCCAGTGCTGGTGGTCCCATCCATCACGTGGGTCGCCCGCAAGTTCGCACTTTTTGCACTGTTACAACACGAAACGCACCGCATGGCCCTGTGAGGCGCCGGCGGTAGAGTAAGAGAGATGAGCACGGCCGATGAGAGGGATTCAAGATTTGTACGGCCGATGGGAGCCGAGGACCAGAAAATCACCGCTCCGCCGCTTCAAGCAGTCAAATGCGAACAATTTACTGGGTACCTTCCTACGTTTGACGCAGTTAGTAGGTTGCGTTGAAAGAATCCGAGTTTGCTACATTCTGCACTCTGCAGCATTCGTGAACGAGATGCTCTCGGCTCATGTGAGAGTTTGGCGTTGTCGCTCGGTGGTAGGTAGGGCAATATGCGCATGGCTGATGGCAGGCCTTGGGGACCACCACTTTGCCACGGCTAAGTAGTAAAATCCGCTGGGAATGACTTGCCTATCAGATTTATTGTTCGATACAGCTAATGACCTCGAGAAATGCCAAAAATGCATGCAATGGGCCCAATTTTTGCCGTTCATATTTTTATTTCTATAACTGGGGCCTTCACAAGTTGTCAAGCCATTCAGCTAAATGACAGTGTCATTTAACCACTAGGGTAACCATGGGACATACATCGCACAATTATCACCCTGGATGAATCGCCGGGGGCAGGTGCCATATAGGATTCTTGTATTGGCATGACATGCTTTTTATTCTAGTTTTGGTCAGCTCATTTCGTTTCCATACTGCTGAGAGGTCAGGCTTGTGACTCATGTCAATAATTGAGGTCAGTGCGGCTTTCAGCTGGTCACTTGTGCGGGTTCGGTGCATGTTTTATTTTGTACTCTCAGCTGGCTTTGCGGCGGATCTTCCTGCTCTGTCTGAAGGATTGGTGCGGATTTAGAGCTTGGACCGGTGAGCATCGTCAACCTGCGAGCCATACCTACTGGTCCTGATCCCAAAAAACTACAGTGCTTTATGCTATAGGTATGGCTTTATCATTTCCCTTGCCCACATCCTTTCTGATTGCTGAGTGGACAAAACCCATTGAGGTGAGTGAAAATAGGTTGCACCGCACGTTTTAAAATGTGGATCCATTTTGATCAACTTCAGGTTGGGCAAACTAGACTTTTGGAATCAAAATATGGAGGCATCAATAATTTGATTCTGGTGGGAGGAGCCATGACCAAATATGGGCATGGAATCAATTTTTTGATTCATTTGGGTACACTTTTGACTTCAAATGTATCGTTACGGTTGAAAAAAGGCCCATGACGGTGAGATTTTTCTTTAAAAAGGTAGAAAAATGTGGTAGGTTTCCAAAAAGTGTTACCTCAAAACTAAGAAATTGTCTCTTTGGCCTTGTGAATGGGAAAAAGACAGAGCCACTCTCCATCACGTAAAAGCTGTTGTGAGGAAATCACACTGTATGCTATTTTTGTATCATGAATCGCATACTAAACAATCAGTATTTGTGTAAAATGGCAAAATGAAATTTTTAAACCCCTAATTATCATTGTTGTAGTGCTTTTATATTTATTATATGGTTTTTACCTGTTGCTTCAGTTTTTGTATTCTTGACATTTAAAAATTGTGAATTGTTATCAAATGTAGTGAAGGTTAAGTACAACAATGCTATAGGTATCTGTTGTGGTGCTGAGGATACCACTAAATGAGAATAATAGCAAGATAAATGATGTATTCCTGCAAGTCATTGTTGCCTATCTCTTAACATTACCTGTGAATCAAAATAATGATTAGCCAGCTGATGGGGAATCAATATTATGATTATCTGTTTTAAGTGAATCAATTCCTTGATTGCCTTTCACTACCTATATAATTCAAATTGTTATGATAGGAGCAATATTATTTTGCTTAGGAGATAGTTCCAGCATTTCTGTTCAAGATCAGGCATGCTCCTTCTTGAAACACTCTCGTATTTTTATGTGATTGGTAAGTTAGAAATGGTCTGCATTTATGCCCAAATATGGTCATAAGGAATCAATCTTTTGATGCCTCCATATTTTGATTCCAAAGGTCTAGTTTGCCCAACTGAATTAGTAGGTACCTACCTGTCTACCTATAATTTTTGTTATATTACTTTATTATAAATTTTACGCATTTATTATAAATTATACGTACACCGTATCGTAATGAGCTGATTATATGACTTCTGACAGCTAAATGGCTGATTTTTTCGCGTATTTTGGCTTCGAAGCCCTCAACTCACAGCAAATTATGTCCGCTCCTGCGCGCACGCCGCGCCAGCGCGACACACGAGACCTTTTGCGCTGTTTGTATTTTCTGCGTCAGAAGTGTAAAAATGTGAATGAAGTTGAAGGAAAAACTATGTGATGAATAATTTTAAAGCGCTGATTGCCTTTCAAGTTGAATCATAAATGATGCAGTTTTTATTTTGATCTCCAGCATGTATATTTTTTAGAAGTATTGTGGTAATCTTATTTTTCGCTTTGAGTCTTTTTAACAAATCAAGCTATTTTCAATAAAAATACTTATTTTTCCTTCCCCATTTTCCTTCATTGTTTTGCTGAGAGCTCTTACTAGTTTTGATTTGGTAGCTCTTGTCGCACTTCGCAGAAAGATGGAGGAGGGTGTTGATGGCGCACATTCTTTGAGTTATGGAACAAAAATGACTGAGTTTTTAAGTTATATCGGCATAATTGCCGGGGAAGAACCACACACAAATGAAGTGGTTGTCTTCCTGTCAAAGAATCAAGTGAGTGTCGCTTCAAATGATGCATGTTTTCATTTTGTGCTTCACCTGGCCCTGCTTACCTGGTCATTTCAATTTTCTGTTCTGTTCTACCTGAGCTCTTGTGCTTGTTAAATGTCGTTTTTATTTAAAAATGTAGTTCTTAGCTCTTTTGTTATATTGTTCCTATGCTAGGGATCAAATGTGTGTCAAGGTGCTCCTCGGTCACTTATTAATCAGCAGGCTGTCAGCTACGCTACCTGGCATTTTTGGCTTCTCATTGACTGAATATTGAATTCACATGATATGTGGGGTTCACCAACAATAAGCCAAGAAATGCAAGCAAACAACTGCACTCGGAACTATTAGCAGCATCAAGCATGCTGATGAAAACTCAACGCCACACTGATCTGGTCCAGACTGTAGAGCGTGGCAGCAGGGTTGATAAGTTGCACCAGCTGGGGTGACAAAGCTGGATCAGCTTGCACCAACCAGGCTGGAAAGCTGCACCAGCTTACACCAAAACAAGACCTAGAACTTCTGCTACATAGTTTATAAATCTGCTCTTATGATAGGCTAATGCCACAATAAATTGGATTACCCCATTATCTCCTAACTACCTCTTTTGTGTCTCCTGTGCATCTTTTTTTAGGCCATGGTGTGACAGTACAGCAGTTTACTACAGCCATGGTGAATCTGCACTGCACAGTGCACAGCACAGCAGCAGTGCCTCAGCACTGAAAAGAGCTCATTAAGTTAACCATGCCTTGCAGTCTGGGCTCTGGCTGTGCTAAAGAAAAAATGTTAATGTTGCCTCAAACAAGCAGGCACACATACAATAGTCATACCAGTTACCACATATAAATTAGCAAGTATTAAGGCGTGACAGTACAGGCCAAGCCAAAAAGAGCTAGAATACTTCTTCTCCTCTCATCATCTCTCTGTGTGTAGCAGTTCAAGAACATTCTTGATAAGCACTGGAGTGACATCATTTTTATTCATAACACCTAACTACAAACATTGCAGTTTCATTCAGCCTCCATCTGCTCAGTAGGCTTGGGAACCATTAGGTAAAGTGGGGCTCAAAAGTTCCATGTATGGTAAATTGAGGTAATATTACAGTGACAGCAGTCAGTCAGTGGTTCAAGCATAAGATAGGCTAAAGACCGGACTGCAAGGCTCAGACTCTGTGGACCAGCCTCTGTGGCCATGCTGCAAAGACTAGCAGCTGTAAAAGAGCTTCATGGCAGCTCTGCATGATGACAAATCTATGCCAGCCCACACCAGCTGGCAACCAGGCTGGAACTTCCCACCAATGCACATGAAAAATGGTTTAATTTTTACCATGACAATAATATTTTTTTGCTCATTATGAGCTACTGCAATGTAAAATTGATTATTCCCCACCTGATCCATTGTCTCATGTGGGTGCTTTTGGTATCAAGATGAGGGTTTTAGCAACCAGTAGTATGGGTGTGGCCTTAACAGTTCTGGGTGTCACTGTTCCAGTGAGACAGTCACCTCTGACCTCACCCAGGATGAGTACAGGAGCTGGGGGAGCAGGGGGCTGCACAATCAAAATATCAGTTCATGAAGTTCATGAAACCCTTTATCTTGAGACCAACAGTACCTTATTTTATTGAATGACTCTGTGCCAGCACACTCTGTTCAGTGCAGTGCTCATGTAGGACCTGCGCCTCTCGACGCAAAATCAGCGCCATGCAACGGTAAATCGGCACCACACCGCGCACCCGCAGAGTGGCCTCGCAGTCCGCGCCGACGAGATCTCGTCGATACTGCCATCTTTATAGTTTGTGTGGTATGACCTCAGTGGCATAGTTACGGTGACGTGGATCCGCGGGCTGCCCCCCGGCGGGCGTTTGGCCCACGCCCGAGACGCCGGGTTTCATCACTTGTCTCACACTCTGCCGTTGACGAGTGGATAATTGCGCCCTCGGCGAACCGTTACTACAACAGAAATGCCACACCAGTACCACCATTGTCACTTCTGTCGAATTGCTTGTGTGGATCAATATAGGCGGACCGTTTCGCCCTCCTCTCCCACTGACGTGCAGGGCGCGAGTTAGTACTCCCCATAACTGTTGTTTATATAAATGTTGCAACATGCTCTCTTTCAATTGCAGGTGGTGGTTGGGAGCATTGCTCTGCTTCTCTTGTTGGTTACCATCATTCTCTACTGCATCAGAACTGGGTCGACTAGTGAAATCAAGAAGAATCTGCAAACCAAAGGTGAGTACAGAGTATGTAGGTAACTCTTGGACCAACTGTCTCAGTCCTGGGGAGATTTGTGGATCGCCACCCCGGTAGGGAGTAACTCCCTAAGGGCTGCTATGCTCGGGCACCTTGTAGTCAGGAAGACAGCTACCCTTGTTCTGTTTTATGTGCCATCCTAGCTGTTATCATTACCATCGTGTTTGGGTTGATATGCGCCTCGATAAGACCGGCTGAATTGGCGGTGATCGAATCGACAGCTGTCGATTGTTTTTATGTCCGCCGCCGACTGGCAGAGCGGACTTTGACCACTGGACGACGGTCACCAGTCGCTACTCGAGTGATTCGTCTCGGGTTGCTACGTGCTATGATTGGTACACAACTCAAAACTTCTTTTTGTCGACGTGCGTGACAGGGAAGTTGTTGAGGAAAAGGAATAGTGACGAAGGAAAGATTAGTTGAAAATCGAATTCATAGGTAATGTGGCCGAATCAAGAAGAGTAGTATACCAAACTGCTGTAATGCTATAGTGAAAAACCACAAATCGATCGCTCGCTTAGCTGTTTGCCGAATTATATTGAAAAAGCAAAGGAATTCATCGCACCAGGGAGCACAAAACTGATCCACACATGCATTTTAGTTGCATTTGATAGGTAGCTGAACGCATTTCCGTGAGATGGCAGCATTTTCCTCGAAAACAGGACGGACGAAAGCCAAACTGATTAGATGCACGAAGAACTAAGCTCAGTTTCGCTCCGGCTTTCTCAGTCCAGACATCACGTCACCAAGAAGTTCTAAGTCGACGAGTGTATTTTTATTACCGATCAGACTGACTACTTTTCTCATCAAAACCGAACACAGGACGTATTATGCAATTTATTTACTAAATCAGTATCTGACATTTTATGGTGTTTACAGTGGAAGACATGAAGGACTTCGTCGGCGTTGGAACTCGGCCTCGGTTTAGAAAACGAGACAAGATCGTGTTTTACGGACGGAAAATGCTCAGAAAGGTAAGGTCTCACTCATTCAGTGATTTGGAATGCAGAGCTGAAGTAGCACCTTTTGCCCGGAGTCGAAGCCAGAATCGAAGTGAACTAGTAACACAAAATTTTGACTTCCTACAACGTAAAAGGATATCGCAGGGGAGCTCCAAACATCGAAATATTCATGGATACTTCGATATTGTCCCGTCACTTGTCAGTCAGTACTCGTCTTACACAGATCGCCCTTTCCCCAGGTGAAATCAGTGGGCCAGTACGTCAAGTCGAGCAAGAACGTGAAGAAGCGCCAGCTGGTGATGAAGTTTGCCAGGAACCTGTTGCAGATGCGCAAGGACGACCAGACGCAGCTGGCGGTAAGCGGCCGGACAGGACTCGCAGTGGTCGGTGAGGTTAGGTATATTGGCCTCTCTCGGCCGTCGGGCGTAGGGCAATGTGATGCTCACTGCTCGCAGCGGTCGGAGGGCCATGGCCGCTACCCTGGTATCGGTCGATCGCCACTGATGTAGGTGGAGAGCCGAGCGCGGTATGCCTGGGCTCTCGTTAATTATTTCCGAGTGGATTGCCGGTGAGCCGCGGTGTTCAGAGATCGAGCCGAGCCGAGCCGGGTCGATCTGCCGTCCAAAGGCAAAAACGCATATGTCGGGTCAGGTCATCACCCGACATATGCGTTTTTGCCTTTGGACGGCAGCGATGGAGACGGTCCGGATATTGATAGCGCCTTCCAGAGAGTCAGAGCGTGTGTCTTGTTGCGCTTCCATCCAGATTTTCGAGTTAATTCTCACAGCCCTGTAAGCCAGTTCTGTGGAACTGACTGATCAGCTCTGTTAACACCTCACTGGGATGGAAACACCCCCGTAACGTTCCCCCAAATGTTTGGGAATATTTCTTGGAACAAATCTGTCCTCGCATATGCTTTTACCTGCGACATTTACAATTACATCCATCACCTTTTCACCAGTGTTAATCACCCATCACCCTTTTGAAGAAAAAAAAAACCATTGTAACTTAGCTTGATATTAAGTCGGAAAATAATATTAGCCGACGTCTCACCCGAATATATAACAAACATAAATTTATGGTGGTCTGGGCGACAATATTATTGAACTTTGCTCATCAATGGATACCACCCATCATCCCTAGCATTGATGGCTCGACCACCCGTTTGTGAGTCGATCACGGGCTCTCCGTTACTGCTGACGCCCCGTGACGTCATTGTATCGGTGTGACGTCAGGTGCTGGAGCCCCCCAGCGAGTACCTACAGGAGGATCTGCGCGACGACAGCGACTCCTCGCTGCCGCGTGAGGTCATGTACATGCTGCGCAGTGTCAGGTCAGTCGCGCACGCTGGTCCGAGGAATGGGCGAGGGAAATGGCAAGTTATCGTTGGCCACCCACCTTATATTGAGGCTGTTGCAGTATCACTTATTCGTGCTTTGCGGTTGAATGTACGAGCATTAACAGAACATGTTATATTGTTTTACAGCTTTTATCTCAATGTATACCTGCAGATACTGGTGCTTGGTTTTGATTTATGAGCCACTGCTAACATCGTTTCTTTTCAGAGTGTTTGGTCATTTTGAGAAGCCGATTTTTCTAGAACTTTGTAAGCAGTGTGAGACAATACGACTACGTCCTGGGCAGTTCCTGTTCAAAATAGGTGAGTCTCGGCCATGAATCATTTGATTAAATTCACAAACGCCAAGTAATAACCGGATATCCAGCTTATGTCAGCCGTCAGTCGAGTAAAAAGGGACGTAGAATTAGTTTCACATCAAATGTTCTAAGCACGCAGCGATTTAGACTTAAACCCTATTTGGTTCAACTCTTGCAATCAATATCTGAGTCACTTAATAATGTGTTCAATCCCGTCCCGCATAATAACACGAGACATGCGCTCGGTTCATTTCGTGTCTGTTGACTGTTGCACGTGGTGTTACCGCCATGTCATAACAATGCACACGCTTCGGCTGTCGTTTTCGTGTCTGGCGTACGGTAACCGCCGTGACTATCCTCAGGTGACAGTGACGAGAACGTGTTCGTGGTGCAGTCGGGTCTGCTGGACGTATTCATCACTGAGGCTGACGGCAGCGCCAGCACGCTCAAGTACGTCGGCGCCGGCGACTCGGTCACATCGCTGCTCAGCTTCTGCGACGTGCTCACGGTACGGGGGGGCGTGATTACGGTACGGGGGGGGGGCGTCCTCACGGTACGGTGGGGGGGGGGGGGGCGTGATCACGGTACGTGGAGGTGTGCTTACGGCACGGGGTCGTTCTTACGTGTCGGGGAAGGGAGGGAGCCTTGCTCACGGTACGGGAAGGCTCACTCGGGGGGAGGGGGGGGGGGGGGTCGAGAGACGTGGCAGAGTGGTTTAGTAAGCTACGGAAGGCTATCAGGTTAGTAGCTGGATACTAGAGACGTTCTTTACCATTTTACTTCGGGCTTTGTTTCTTCCTTCGTGATCTGACATTTAATAAAAAGTTTTTCTATCTGCTCCACTTGAATTCGTGTAGAACGATGCGGCATAGGTGCCAATATTTTGACAATTGGTGCATTTTCTGTGTCACAGGGTCACCCGCAGCCTTATAAGACGGTGTCGGCAAAAGCAACCGAAGATACCATAGTAATCAAACTACCCTTCATGGCTTTCTTGGTACGAACTCATCAACATTTTAGCGTGCTTGTGTTGTTTTATGCATGTGCATGTTTTCCTGATATCTTAATGGTTAACCCGCGACCTGGTGGGGGGGGGGCTATTTTTTGCCCCCCCCCCATCCAGACTTTTCGATATATCTCCAGAACCGCTGCGCCGATCGTCACCAAACTTTCAGTACCCTCCCGGACATCAATTTTACACATTATGACCAAAAAATTTTCCAAAGCCTACGATAGGTTGGCCGGAAGTGACGTCAGAGTGACGTCATGTTCTGCCGTTTTCGACCCAAAAAAGGGTTTCGCGGGAAGAGCTGTCAGGCCTATAGCTTTGCAAATACAGAAAAATGATAAAAAACATAAAAGCTGTAGATTGGACAGGGCTACAAAACTGCTATCTCGGATTTTTGAAATTTTTGGATTTTGACTCCCAAAAATCAAAAAATAGTTTTTTTGGATATAATAATCGAAAAATCCAAAAAGTTTTTTGAATTTCGTAAAAACCGGAATATATGTGATAGTCCTTACCGCCTTCCATTCACATACCAAATTTGAGATTGATACCTCTTTTTTTGGGCGAAGTTATAGCGAAAAAACTGTTCAAAATTGATGACGTCAAATTTTCAAACTCAATTTTTAGCAATTCTAGACCCCGTAGCGCAAAAAAAAGACCACCATTAGACTCTCCGTGACGAGCTGCATCGATTCAATACCCATTTTATGCAAAACTATCAACTTTAAAATTTGACCTTTTTTGGCCTGACCTTGACCTGACCTTGACCTGAACTTCACCAGAAAGTGACCTAAGCCGTACCTGATAGTCTTATAACCAACACCATTGAGTTGGAAATGAAAAATTGGCCATAAAACATGTATCACACAACCTTAGTTAAGTTGGGCTCATGTGACCTGACCTGTGACCCTTGGTGACCTGACCTGTGACCTGACCTGGTATTGCCAGTGACCTCTAATAGCAGCATATCTACTAGGCAACTGACGTCCTACCGCTGATTCTCGACAAAATGCGTTTTCCTCGGTGTTATAGCGTATTCCCTAGAAGACCCGTGAACGGTGAAACATTTCATCTTTGACCTGACCTGTGACGTCATCGGTGACCCCGAGGTCAATGAAATTTGGTTTCGTTCGACAAATTTGACAGGCCTTTCGAACGCCGTTTGAATTTTGCGGATCCGTCCAGTAGTTTCGGAGATACGAGGGGGGGGGGGGCAAAAAATAGCCCCCCCCCATCAGGTCGCGTTATAAACAGACCCCACCAGGGCGCGGGTTAAGTGCGAATGTTTGCATCACTATCGTGCTATGTGTTTGGCAGTAACTGACGGACGCTTCCTGTTTATGATTGTGACTTATGCTTTGTGTCTGACGTATTGGGCAGAAATTGACCAACAGTTTATATATAACCGTCGTGTGAATCACGCTAGGTGTTTTACATTTTCCTTTATTTCCCCCTCAGAAACTGACGGACAGCTACCCGGAGACGGTGGTGCGTATGGTGCAGATCATCATGATACGACTGATGAGGGTCACCTTCACCGCTCTGCATCACTATCTGGGGCTCAGCTCCGAGCTGATGACACAGGTGAGGTCAATGTAAGAAGGTCACTGGTCACAGGTCACTACCTGGGGCTCAGCTCCGAGCTGATGACTCAGGTGAGCTTGATATAGGGGTCACAGGTCACATGTCACTACCTGGGGCTCAGCTCGGAGCTGATGGCACAGACGAGGTCAGCACTCCGCTCGCATTATTAAATTGCTGTGCGCTGTTCTGCTTCCCTCCCCAGTGTGCCATATTACCGACTCCCCCTCCCCCTTTTCCCTCCACCCCTCAGCACGCCCGCCAGCGGACAGATACGTCGCTCAAGTCGCAGCAGCAGTCTCCGCGCAAACAGCGCCGGCCGGCGCCGGACGCCGAGGTACCGGGCGGCGGCTGGCGGCCCGGCGTGGTCCAGAGCGAGCCCGTGCCGACAGCCGCCTCAGGAGACGCAGACACGGAGGAGGTGCTGGTCGGGTCGGCTCAGTCGACTGGCAGGGTGAGATGGCGCGTGGCGGGTGAATAGGGGGAGTGACTGAATGGAGCAGGGAGCGGGATGTGGAAGGAACGACGGCAATGAATAGGAGATCGAGATTCTTTGAGTTGCCACTTGCCAAAAAAGTATGTGAGAGTGGGAGGGACGAGATTGCTCAGACGATTGGAGTGGGACATCGTATTCAGGGTTGTGCCTGTCTGGCATCGCATTAACTGCTTTTTGTAACCACCCCCTCTCGCCCCTGTACAGGAGCGTCGCCGGTTCATGGACATGGATGAGGCGGCGCTGTCTGCAGACGCACTGGAGCGGTTCCGCGCCATCCTGCAGCTGCCCAACCTGTCGCTGCTAGAGGGACACGTGCTGCTGCGGCACCTGACCCCCGGCCAGGTCATCATGACGGAGGGTGTACAGGAGGTCAGTCACACTCCCCCCCCCCCAGCCAGGTCATCATGACGGAGGGCGTGCAAGAGGTGAGTCACTACACTCCCCCCCCCCCCCCCTTGACCTCGTCCCGGCCAGGTCATTATGACGGAGGGCGTGCAGGAGGTGAGTCACTACACTCCCCCCCTTGACCTCGTCCCGGCCAGGTAATCATGACGGAGGGCGTACAGGAGATCAGTCGCTGGCTGCTGGAGAGGACATGAGATAACGCTGTAAGGGGTGATTTAACCGTAACCGCTTCTTGCAGCATACACCCACCACAGACACCTTGGCATAATCATTCATTATGCTCTGTTTCATGTGCAGACATCCTTGAGTTTGCTCGCTTGGTACATGTCGTGTCGTGTAGCTTACTCAACCGTTCGACCGTTCCCTTGCTGCCAGGAAGAGAGAACAGCCTGGCGCTCGCGCTACATAGTACGCTCCGTCCACTGACTGCTCTCTCCCTCCCCGTCAGGAAGAGAACGGCCTGGCGCTGGTGCTACACGGCACGCTGCAGGTCAGCCAGCGGCGGCCCGACAAACCGTCTGAGGAGGTGCTCATGTACCTGGCGCACAGCGGCCAGATGGTCGGCGCGCTGGCCGTCCTCTCCGGCGAGGCCAGCTTCTTCTCTGTCCGCGCCAAGTCTGCGGCGCTGGTGGCCCAGATGAGTCAGCAGACGTTCTACAACATCATGCTGGAGGTGCCGCAGGTAGTGCTGCACGTGGCCAACACGGTCATCCGCCGGCTGTCGCCACTAGTGCGACAGATCGACTTCTCGCTGGACTGGACGCACATCGAGGCCGGAAAGGCCATCTATCGGTGAGCGAGAGGGCAGAGTCAGGAAGGGGGATAGAAAGGAATGGAGGGAGGGAGAAGAGAAGAGGCGAGGAGTGGAAGGAAGAGCTGACATTTACTTCATTTTCGTCCAGACGATCTATGTCACAAAATTGGCTTTGGATACCGCTAGAAATTATCAGCATGCCTAAGATACGTTGCTCTCTAAATTGCTGGACGTTTTTGAGTGCACTTATTAAGTCTTCATAATTCATCATTCTGCTTAGCTGCTGAATGTCTCTTGGCTAGCTGCCGTTCCTACTGTCTTCCCCGCTCGTCCCGTCTCTGACGCCATTACCCACTGTTCACAGTCAGGGCGAGCCGAGCGACAGCACGTACATCGTGCTGAGCGGCCGTCTTCGGTCGGTCATCAGCCACCGTGACGGACGGAGGGAGCTGCTCGGAGAGTACGCGCGAGGAGACCTGGTCGGCATCGTGAGTACCTGACCGGTTCGACCAGGAACCCTGGCAGACAGGGAGTGGACGTGGGGCAGGGTAGGGCAGCGGTAAGGGTCTGGGCGAGCCGGTTATAATATGTGTTGTAAATGTCAGCTTGCCCGCCCGTTCTCCTAGGTGCGGATTATCGTCATATCCAATTGTCCATCCATCCGGGCGGCCAGGCAGAACCCTTAACCCGTGTCTTTCCCTCATTGCCAAATGAGTACTGACACAGTTCAATGCCCTCATGCGTAAATAATCTGATATTCGTCCGTCCCTCAAAGACAGAGTCACTGACCGGCATGTATCCCTCCTCCTCCCCGTCAGGTGGAGACTCTGACGCAGACGGAGCGCAGTACCACCGTGATGGCTATCCGAGACACAGAGGTGGCCAAACTCTCCGACGGTCTCATCAACTTCATCAAGCTCAAATACCCGATCGTGGTGACGCGCCTCATCGAGCTGCTGGGCCACCGGATCCTGGGCTCGTGGAAGCGCTCGGCGTCTCCGCTGGCGGCCGGCAGCTCGCTCAGTGCTGCAGTGGTCGAGCAGCGGCCCAGTCAGACCAACTTCAACACGGTGGCGCTGCTGCCCGTGTCCGAGGACGTGCCGCTCGTCTCGTTCTCGTTCGAACTGCTGCACAGTCTGCTGGCGATCGGTGAGTGGAGAGGGCGGTGGACGGTGGCTGATAGAGTGTCTTGTTGTGGACGACGGTGGTTGGTCGTTAGGGACGGCTGTGTCGCCTGGTTTGTGTGTTAATGAGTATGTTGGTGAGTGTTTTGATAAGTTTATGTTCGAGAGGCTTTTCGATGAAATGTGCGACTTATTTGTGTTTGTCACAGGACGTGCGACTCTGCTGACGTCCGAGCTGATTAGGAAGACGCTGGGAACGAGCATCCTGGAGCCGAGCAACGACCACCGGCTGATCGCGTGGCTGGCGCAGCAGGAGGACCAACACCAGGTAAGACGCTGACTCGTTGGCAGACTGATTCATATCCTCCCCATAGTGGCTGTTGCCCGATCCATCGATTTACTGTTCTTTCCGGTCCGCTGAGCACTGGCCCCAGTTATCTGTCTCAGTCGACTGGTGGGTGGGTGGGGAATTTCAAAATGATTGAGAGCCATTTACGTCTTTTCTCTGAGTTGTGTGTTGTTCCCTGTCATTTACATCAGGCTAGTCTAGTTTTGGAAATAAAATTTGTATTGTTCTGTGCCGGGTCTCACCAGCTTCCGCCGTGACCGCCAGGTGACCATACCTGTGGCCTCTGACCGGTCCCCTTCTGTAACCTCCAGGTGACGCTGTACCTGTGCGACAACGAGCTGACGCCGTGGACCCAGCGGTGCATCCGCCAGGCCGACTGTATCCTGATCGTGGCCCTGGCAGAGCGCGGACCCTCCGTCGGAAAGGTGCGCCAAACTCCGTCACAGACCCTAGGTGTCTGGCCGCACCTACCAGCCATTTCTTCTGACAGACCATGTAAAACTTTATGCGCCCGTGGCTACTCAATGAGATAAAAGTGTTGGAAATACCCGCTTTCGTTAACCTTACATGAGCTCAGTTTGTGGCGTTGAATTTTATTTCACCGTTCATTCGCTCATGCTACTAATTTCAGCTGGATTGGTCGTTTCTCTGTTTCCCAAATTAGGGAACCGGGGTCAAAATTTCGACCCGTTGAGGGCTGACAAATGTAGTATTCTCTGACGAATAATTGTTCCTCGTCCGTCTCTACCAGATCGAGAAGCAGCTGGAGACGCTGGCGGTGCGCACGCAGAAGGAGCTGATTCTGCTCCACCGCGAGGGGGCTCCGCTGCCGCGGCATACGGTCCGCTGGCTCAACATGCGCTCCTGGTGCTCCTCACACCACCACATCCAGGCGCCCAAGAGGCTGTTCGCCAAGAAGAGCCTCACAAAGATCGTGAGTTGGGGTGGGGGGTGTCTGATAGAGGGTGGTAGGGCGGGTGGTAGCTTCTTATCCATCTCTTACTATCCGCTATCACGTCATGGTTCTAGGAGGCGCGTCGTTTTTATATGTGATGATGTTTTTATAGGTTATTCTTCATCCTTCTAATAATCATACGATGCATGAATAACAACTAGAATGACACTGTATTTGTTCCAGAACATTGTTACATAAGAGAAGTAGCGTTACGACACGTTAAAGGAACTATCCCACCTTCTAAAATGTTGTTAAAACCGGTTAAATTGTGCCCGACTTTATAGATTGGATGACCAGGAACACGGTTCTGGCATTTCTGGCAGACAAACACGGTTCTGGCAGACAAACACTATTCGTTAGAATTGTGTTTTTCTATTGAAAAACAACCGGAGCGGTCGTTCTCCGGGCTATGTTTTGCAAGTTATTTTTCATTAAACATCTTAGGCTTCCCATATTCCAAACACAAACTTTCAAATATGTGACGTCACAGCCCAAAATTACCTCCTTCCCCAGGCCACATTACTGTCATAAAGCTGATTTTTTTACTCTGTAGGCACCACAACAAAGTTCAGACCAAGTTTTAAGCGATTTTTCAACGAACAAACCCATTTAAATCAGAATGACTATAATGACTATAATAAACGAGGTGACGTCACACTAACGGTCGCTCCATGTTGAAGATAGGGCCTTGCGCAAGGCCCATTTTCAAATGAAGGGAACGAATTTCTTCAACACCAAGAGGCCGCGGGGGTTGCAACCTAGATAGATAGTGGTTTCTGAACCTCGCCGCAAACTTGGCTATCTCAACTCAAACCCCATGTTAAAGGTGTAATAGTCCCTTTAACGCTCACATTTTGACTAAGGATTCATTTTCCATCGCCATACACCTTTCATTATGTGGCAACTAAGATTGTTGGCAACCATACGTATCATTGTTGTCTCAGCCGGCTGACCGCCTCTCCTTTTTCGCCCCATTCAGCGTGAGTCGTACCGCAAGATTCTGGAGACGGAGCCGAACCGTTTCTCCGACGTCTCTCGGCTGGCGCGCCTTCTGACGGGCACCTCTGTGGGCTTGGTGCTGGGCGGAGGCGGGGCGCGTGGCGCAGCGCACATCGGCATGCTCAAAGCCATCCAGGTGAGGCACACAGTGTATTTTCGCATGAGACTTATGAGATGCCGCTCTATGAACGTGTTGTTGGTTGATGTTAAACTTAAATTGAACATGCCGCATGGTACATATGAATGGACAGTCACTGTGGGACACGACGTATATAACATAGCTAGCGTTATTAGTTCCTGTTCCAGTTCAACAGGAGGTCTTTGAACACTATCCGTTGTGTTCCCGCCCATATGAGGCCACTATCCCCTTGCACTGTTTTCCGCCAATAGGCCAATATCTAGTGTTTTTGGACATGTTTTCATTTCATTTGTCATCTGGACCCGTTTTCCACCCACAGGAGGCCGGTATCCCCATAGACATCGTAGGCGGAGTGAGCATTGGCGCCTTCATGGGCGCGCTGTACTGCAAGGAGAAGGACCTGGTGATCTGCACGCAGAAGGCCCGCAGCTGGTCCATGGTGAGGGCGGACGGGAATGTTACAGAGCCTGCTGTAGTGTATAACTGAGGTCGGTGGACTGGAGGTCGTCTCAGTAGGTCACGGTCATCCTGTGTTTGAACTTCGCAAGCTTTGTCAGATTTTCACCTTCAACATGTCCCGTCAGGCCGCTATCTCCTTTTCTTCAGCTGAAATGGCAGAGTGGCTTCTGATCTTAGAGCTAACCGTTCTCTCCCTCTCATCTCTCCCACAGAAAATGACGCAGTTGTGGCGTCAGATCTGGGACCTGACCTACCCGGTGACGTCGTGGTTCTCGGGCCGCGGCTTTAACGCCCTGATCCAGGAGGCGCTGGGCGATGCGCAGATCGAGGACCTGTGGCTCCCGTACTTCACGCTGACCACAGACATCACGGATAGCGCCATGCGCGTCCACACTCACGGTCGGTGCCGGGTGGGTGGGGAGCGGGGGGAGGAAGGGTCCGTGCACGTGCCGGCTGGCAGGGGAGGGGCTCACTGGAGGGAGGTCCAGGGGTCCACGATCGTTGGTGGGTGAATGGGAGGGACTGGCCACTGGGTGTACTGTGAAGAAAAGGGATCGGGAGAAAAGGGAAGTTCGGGAAAATACAGTGCCGAACGTTAGGGAGGGGAGCGTGGGGCCTGTGGGATAACACCATGGGCTTTCGCGGGCGGGGGGCACAGCTTGGGGCCCTTGAATATTTCCCGTTTTTTATGTGATTTTTTTTGTGTGTTATTTTAGCGGTAGTGGCTTGTCTAACATGTGTGTGGTGAGCTTGTTAGGTGTCGATGCTTCAGAATCTCTGTCATGCTTTTTTAGCAGTTTTGCTGGAGTTTTAGCTAGGTTTCCCCTGTTTGGTGCACATACCTAACATGTTTCTTTATTTGCTAGTTTGATTTGCACATAGCTTTTATTTACCTCTTCTAGTACGTCTATCACGCATATTCTGATAAAGCACTATTATAACACATTTTCGGAGGCCTGCTCGATGCTACAGCGATGTTATTTTCTTCAAACGCACTTGGCAGGCTGCCATGATTCCTTGTGCAGTGTTAGCAATTATAAAATGTGCTGTTTTTTCCTCTGCTTATCATTGCATTGTTCTGAGTTTGTAGACTGACGGTGTTGCTGATTCTGCTGATATTTCACTTCACTCTATGATCTTAAATTGCCTTGAAACCGTAACGTACTATTGCGGATACAAGTAACAAACACTGCTGCATTGAGCACGCCTTCATCCACTAGTACGTGCCCGCCTGGGGACTCTATTGCAATTTTTTGGTAAACACTCTAAAAATGTTAACATATTTTTTTGTCATCGACTTGGTAATGGTTGCGTCGTTTACGATTGATCTGTTTGTTTTGTTTTGTTGTCACGTTTTTGCAACACTTGACATTTTGTAGCATGTTTAATTTAAGTTTGTTATGTATTGAATCATTTTCATTGCTTTTCTTTCTCTATTCTGTTAGCTTTCGTGTTTTGTTTACTGTCATTACCTCATACGGCATACCTATCGTTTTTATGCTCAAATTACGACTTGTTTCTCGCTCTCAGCGTAAAGTCGCCGGCGTTCGTGTGTGTGTGTGTGTGTTTGTGTGCGTGTGTGTGGTGGCGAGAGTAACCACGGCACCGCTGCGCTGCTGTCCTCCGCTCCTCTCTCTTCCCGCTCTCGCGGTGCTACTCGGCCCCTCTGCCCCGTGTCCACGCCTATCAGTACCAGTGAGTCCATCATGCCGACACCCCGGTCCGCCAGCTGCGTCCTTTGATCCCGTAGAGATGCAAGGCTCCTCATGGGTCCCCGTCGGCCTCTTGGCGTGCATGCCTCCTCGGGTGCTTTTTAGAGTTGGATGGTTTCTGATTGAGTTGGGGAGACGTCTGTGAGGTTTTTTATTAGTTTTGTTACCCAGAAGCTCAGAATGGGTGACAAAGCCTGCAGCTGGGGGTGGCAGACTCAAAAACTTCGGTATCTTGAAGTGGTTTGTCTCAAATGACTAACAGTTATTACCGACTTTGTAGTGTGCTGTAACCCTTTAGGTGCTTTGTAGGCTCTAGTGCTCGGTCGCTGGATTAGATACTTAATCGGAAATAATTATTTTCGTTGCACATACTGGGCGAATTTAGTGTCTTCGCTTTCCGTCATCGATAGTTGAGGGATGCTCTCAAAGCTCATTGTACATCCACTTCGTTTAGGCATACTGGCCTCGAAGCAACACAATGTAAATGGAAGTTTGATATGCGAAGGAGGCACTTAGGGCAAAGTTGTTCTATTTTGGTGGCTAAAATAATAGGCAGTAACTATCACGGATTTAACTATGGATAAGAACGAAATTGCTGAGTCAGTGCATACAGTAGCACACTAACCACCAGCGAAATTGCCTGCTTACGCTTTTATTCATACATGTGAATGATGTGTTTATGTGGTGGACAGCGAATGCCCTTGTGTGGAAGGTGTGCGAATGGTATTTGGTCTAACATCTGGGTACCCTGAATTTGCCTTATCGCTTTATATTCATTCATTAACATGCCTAGTTGTGGGGTGTATCAATTACACCTGAAGCCACTACATAAGAACATGCATTTGTACTGGTTGTGGCGGTGGCCGTGCCGCCGGGTCCCCCGCCGCCCGCTGTGTGCTGAGCTCCCCGTCCGCCGTACCCGGGTGCGCGTCGCAGGCTCCCTGTGGCGCTACGTGCGCGGCTCCATGTCGCTATCTGGCTTCATGCCGCCGCTGTGCGACCCGCGCGACGGCCACCTGCTGCTGGATGGTGGATACGTCAACAACCTGCCAGGTAACGCCGCCAGACGCTGACACACTGACACTGATACTGACACCAACACTGACACAGACACTGGGACCAGCACTGAGACAGACAGACACCAGACACAGACGCAGACACCAGACACAGACACCGATACCAGACACAGACCGACACCAGACACAGATCGACACCAGATACAGACACCATAGATACAAACACATACACCGACACCAGACACACAGACACAGACACTGACACTTGCACCAAGACACTAACACCAGACACAGACACCGACACCAGACATAGACACCATACGAGTAGATACAAACACATACACCGACACCAGACACAGACGGGCACCACACAGACACCGACACCAGACATTAGACATTAACTTAAATATAGGCAAATACTGACCCGACACCGACACGAGTACTAAGACGGGTGTAGATAAACTAACAACACCAGTGCCGGCGTCGCATTATGTTGTTGGTGATGAGCAAAGACCGAGCCGACCAGGAAAGTTGAAATATGCGCCACGAACCGTGACCTTTGACCGAAAACGGCGCATTTTGGAAGGAGGGACGGCTGTCTATACTCTGGAGGGTTTGGTATGCTTGGATTGGGGGACGGGGGTTGCCATTGCTGGCTGCTGCTCACAAGTGGCTGGTTGGGATGCTTGGTCAGGATTATTTTCCGATTGGGTAACGCAAGATCAAGCGTATCTACGCGACTTTGTTGCATGAGTGTACGGCTAATTGGGTTGTCTTGTCCTTAACCTTCTGCTAGTTTGGTGGTGCTCTCAAAGTTGTGTGACATTTCTGGTGTGTTGTGTCGTGTGTGCCTGTGTGCTGGGTGACGGTCACTGGACGTTTGTTTAGGGCTCTGTTGCCTTGCCTTGGCAGCTGGGTTTCGCTAGTGCTCGGTACTGGGCTGATTTTAGCGAAGCCTGTATAGCGAGGGCGGATTTGAAGTTGACAATTCTTAAGTCTGGAGTTTTACTCGTTAATGCGGACACGAATTTTTATTATCTAATATTGTTGACATAATAATGTACATTTTTACATGCATTAATGTTTCATAGCATCTGCTTCTCTCGCAGCGGCAGTGACCTCGGGAGGAAAGGTTCTCTTCCCGCTCCGTTTTCTCAGTTTGGGCTGCCAGGCCGGCCAACACTCGCACCGCATGCTCCGCCCTCTCTTCTCCATGCACCAAACTAAACGCACGGTCCGTGGTGGTCGTCCTCTTCAGCGTTCTCTTTTTGTTTTTGACATTTTATCCTGTCTGTCGTGCTGGGAATATCCCTTTCCTTTTTCAAGCTGTTTTTATTGTAACTCTCAAAATATTATTTCAGTTTTTCATCATTTCCTTCACTTCATTTCCTGTTGCCTTCGTGAATATTTGATAGCTAAACTTGCTATCCTATTCGCAATTCCAGAAAGTTTCTTTTTCATAGCCATCTTTTATAAATTCAGTTTTTAGGTAAACGTTATGTTGTGGCATCGAATCGGTTAAAAGTTTGATCTCGATGGATTGAGGTGTATTTTCTGCCCTGCAGTCGGTTGATTGTTCATTAACACGCCATTCGCTTGAACGTTACGTTGACTCTTCCTTTACGAGTAGGTAAAGTTTAAAGAATAATAATAAAAAAATGGTAAGCTAATGAGTAGACTTTTCTACCCGGGCACTTTACTCTAAGTTGACGCATGAAACACCACCAGCTGGCCTAGTGCACCCAGAACTATGCCCTTGCCCATTCATTAATTAAACTCTTCTTTCCTATATTACCCAACAGCGGGTCGTCCCGAAGTATCTGGCCAGCTTTAGTCCATGGACTTTATCAGTCATTTTAACTCCATGATAGTGATCCATGATGCAGCCCATGACTCACCCAAACCTTTAAATTTTAATGATTGTCATCGGTTTCATGGCTGGAGACTTCCGGGCACGATTCTCATGGCTAGGTCTCTCGTCATCGCGCAACTCATTCAACAGGCTTCAATCCTCACCTAACCCGCATTGGGTCCACGCCCTAGCCCTGTCCACGGGTCATCAGCCCCGACCTAGCCCGGTCCCCGGTCTCCTGAACTCCCTTCCGGCGGCGGCAGCCCGGCGGTGCCGTCGGTGACCCGTCCGTGACCCTTCCGGTGACCTGGCGTGACCCACCGTAGGCACCCTGTGGCGGTACGTGCGCTCCAGTATGAGCATAGCCGGCGTGCTGCCGCCCGTGCCGGACCCGGCCGATGGCCATCTGCTGGTGGACGGCTGCTATGTGAATAATGTGCCAGGTAGGACGCTAGTGCGGGGTATTACCTGCCAGGTAGGACGCTAGTGCGGGGAATTACGTGCCAGGTAGGAGTGGGTCCAGTCGCCCAAGTCCCGCCGCACCAAGACGTCATTGGCTTGCCGCTGAAACACAACGTTACTGACGATGTCCCAACTCCCAACATGCTTAGTTTGACTCTGTAATGAAACTAACATCGAAGGCTCGATTTGACGGGAGCTATGCTTGACTTGCTCGTCTTTCAATAAGGTTTGTTTCAGCAGCAACCCACTGTCTGTCAATATATGGCGCGCACCCACACAGCATGACTGTCACATGCCGTCCGCGACCGCGTCCTCTCGCTTCTGGCTGTCGGGCTGGGCCTTTGTCAGCCTGAATGACGCCGTTCGTGTTACACGCTTGCCAAGCTTATGTCACGCACATCGCTTACTGCTTACCCTCACGGGCACAGGATACATTGGGGCGTCGAGACGGTGGCAATTCGTAACACAGAGAAACAACTTTCACCCGTTGCTTTATGCTTGTATGTTTGGAGAAATGAAAGGTCGCGGTAGAAGTTTTGAAAGACGATAGCTCGTCTTATTGGTTGACATCATTCCGGGCTTGATACACGTCGAACAATGCTCAGATGTGAGGGTCCCGCCTGCAGATTTCCATCCGTTAAATATTTAATTAAATTGATGTAGAAGAATGGGGTAGTGATTTACCTACTCGAGATTCTTCTGCCCATTCTTATAAAGAGCCCGGGCCAAAGTGATACTCTTTGCTAGCTCGTTATTCTAAATCCACGACTTGTATCAAAGCGCTGTTCAATGAACGGGCTTTCTACCGAGTTTGTGGCAGCCCGTGTCCGTTACCCAAAGTGCGCCGTTTGGTTCGTTCCAGTGGGTTCCTTCGGCTGGTCAGGCGGCTCGGTCTTTGCTCATTCGATGCTATATTTTATGTGTAGTGTAAGTTCTTAAATGACAATGAATCTCCATAAAGTATTCAGTGAATATTGGTCATGGTAAAACATTTTATCCACATAATTTGACAGTTTGCAACATGCGTTGTGTTTAGCGAGTTTTGATCAATGCAATGTATGTTTAGGATAAGAGGCATGGTGTTCTGAAGTAACGTTCGCACTGAAGTATGTCATCCACAGCGATATTTTTGCAGCATTGCAGCATTCGATTGGCTTTTAATTGATTTTACCTAGAGTCTAGACCACATGCATCGATCCCACGAACACCTCTCAGTGTTTACCCACACCTCCCACCCCTCCCCACCGCTCTGTCTAACCCCTGCCCCCCCCCCCCCCGCGCGGCGCAGCGGACGTGATGCGCTCGCAGATGGGCGCCCACATGGTGCTGGCCGTTGACGTCGGCTCGCAGGACGACGTCAGCCTGACCAACTACGGCGACTCGCTCTCGGGATGGTGGCTGCTCTGGAAGCGCTGGAACCCGTTCGCAGAGCCCGTCAAGGTGCCCAGCCTGCCCGACATCCAGTCACGGTGGGTATTGGGGGGGGGGGGGGGGCACGGGACGAGGCTGATAGGGTGGTATCCTAATTTGTCTATGGGTGTTCGGTGTCTAGTTTTATATTAAGTTCGATAAAAAAAAAACTGGTCATGTGCTCGAAATGTCTTCTAGATCTCGTTTGTCAAAAGTATTATGCTTGACAGATGTTATTTATCTGCGAAATCGGCAACTTTATAGCTACTTCTCTCAGGGGCGCTTTTCTTAGTGACTTATTTCGTTTATCTTTTGTTCTGCTTTACCGTCACTTTCTGGTGCGCTTTCTGTAGCTCACAGCTGACTCTTATCCCCGCTATGTTTCAGGCTGGCGTACGTGTCGTGCGTGCGCCAGCTGGAGGAGGTGAAAGGCTCCGACTACTGTGAGTACATCCGGCCGCCGATCGACCGCTACCGCACACTACAGTTCGGCAGCTTTGACGAGATCAAGGTAGTGCCAACTCGACGTGTTTGTGTGCGTGTGTGTGTGTGGGGGGGGGGGAGGGGGATTGCTCGGAATGCTCCCGATTTTTCGAAATCCTGGGGGATATGATTCAGCTTTGCTAAGGCCTTGGGTATGTGATGCTGAAGCGGGGAACTAAATTAACGGACTGGGGAGAGATATGGGGATCGTGGGTATAATTTGCTGTTGTAATTGCATTCAAGACGTGTCACGATCGCCTGGCCGATTTTTATCATTGTACCCGTCTGTTGCTCGGTAGATCGTCTGTTACGTATCCTTGCGTTATGTATCCATGTGTCTCTCAATAGGATGTCGGCTTCGCGCACGGCAGCGCCTACTTCAGCGGTATGCGCAAGGCTGGCACCCTGCAGGCGCTGTACGACCCCAAGAGCTCTGCGGCCGTCGCCCTGGAGACGGCCTCTGGTCAGCCGAGGAAGCTCTCGCAGGAGACGCCGCACGCGCCGCACAAGTTCACCGACCTCGCACAGATGGTGAGTGGCGGGGGATTGAGCGGGGCGAGAGGTATGGGAACAGATTGGATTTTGGAAACATATTCAACTTCATTCATAGTTAGTAGTTTTGTAACGATCGTAGAAAGATAGTGGTTTTGTGACATGGGAGAGATTGTAAAATCAAATTTCAGGGAGACATCCCTGAATCATCCGTCTAGTGCGGTGCTGTTATTTGAAGACTGAGCTAGCCGCACCATCTCACTGTTGTGTGCGAGTATGCCGGGTCCGGGTCCTGTACAGCTCCCTGCACGACAGTGGACTGGTTATATGAGTCGGGAGCTGGCCTATACCGATTCACTGCTGTGCTAGTACAGCTGTGTCGAGTCCGGATACCGCGGAGTTCCCTGTTGTGCGACAGTTTGGTTTTGGACTGGTTATATGAACTGGTAATTGACCTGTTCCATTCCCTGCCTCAGGTGTGCCGAGTCCGTGTGCCGCGTACCTCCATGTACGACAGTCTGGACTCTGACGAGGAGGAGGACAAACCGGACTGGACGGGCGGCAGGGCCGGGCGAGCGACCGTTACCGAACAGGGCTACCACTCGGAGCCGGCCGTCCAGCGGGGGCTCTCCAAGGTCAGTGGTACTAGCGGGGCTCTGCTGTATGTACTACCACTCGGAGCCGGCCGTCCAGCGGGGGCTCTCCAAGGTCAGTGGTACTAACGGGGCTCTACTGTATGTACTACCACTCGGAGCCGGCCTTCCAGCGGGGGCTCTCCAAGGTCAGTGGTACTAACGGGGCTCTACTGTATGTACTACCACTCGGAGCCGGCCGTCCAGCGGGGACTCTCCAAGGTTAGTGGTACTAACGGGGCTCTACTGTATGTACTACCACTCGGAGCCGGCCGTCCAGCGGGGGCTCTCCCAGGTCAGTGGTACTAACGGGGCTCCACTGTATGTACTACCACTCGGAGCCGGCCGTCCAGCGGGGACTCTCCATGGTCAGTGGTACTAACGGGGCTCTACTGTATGTACTACCACTCGGAGCCGTCCGTCCAGCGGGGGCTCTCCAAGGTCAGTGGTACTAACGGGGCTCTACTGTATGTACTACCACTTGGAGCCGGCCGTCCAGCGGGGGCTCTCCAAGGTCAGTGGTACTAACGGGGCTCTACTGTATGTACTACCACTCGGAGCCGGCCGTCCAGCGGGGGCTCTCCAAGGTCAGTGGTACTAACGGGGCTCTACTGTATGTACTACCACTCGGAGCCGGCCGTCCAGCGGGGGCTCTCCCAGGTCAGTGGTACTAACGGGGCTCCACTGTATGTACTACCACTCGGAGCCGGCCGTCCAGCGGGGACTCTCCATGGTCAGTGGTACTAACGGGGCTCTACTGTATGTACTACCACTCGGAGCCGGCCGTCCAGCGGGGGCTCTCCAAGGTCAGTGGTACTAACGGGGCTCTACTGTATGTACTACCACTCGGAGCCGGCCGTCCAGCGGGGGCTCTCCAAGGTCAGTGGTACTAACGGGGCTCTACTGTATGTACTACCACTCGGAGCCGGCCGTCCAGCGGGGGCTCTCCCAGGTCAGTGGTACTAACGGGGCTCCACTGTATGTACTACCACTCGGAGCCGGCCGTCCAGCGGGGGCTCTCCAAGGTCAGTGGTACTAACGGGGCTCTACTGTATGTACTACCACTCGGAGCCGGCCGTCCAGCGGGGACTCTCCAAGGTCAGTGGTACTAACGGGGCTCTACTGTATGTACTACCACTCGGAGCCGGCCGTCCAGCGGGGACTCTCCATGGTCAGTGGTACTAACGGGGCTCTACTGTATGTACTACCACTCGGAGCCGGCCGTCCAGCGGGGGCTCTCCAAGGTCAGTGGTACTAACGGGGCTCTACTGTATGTACTACCACTCGGAGCCGGCCGTCCAGCGGGGGCTCTCCAAGGTCAGTGGTACTAACGGGGCTCTACTGTATGTACTACCACTCGGAGCCGGCCGTCCAGCGGGGGCTCTCCAAGGTTAGTTCAGTGGTACTAAGTACTAACGGGGTACTACGACTGTCCAGCAGGGACTCTCCAAGGTTAGTTCAGTGGTACTAACGGGGCTCTACTGTACTGGGGACTCTCCAAGGGCAGTGGCTCAAACAGGGCCCCGCTCCACTGTATTGAGACTCTTCAATGTCAATGATTCCTGACCTTCCTGTTACATTTCCGGGCTAAAATGGTGCTGATCGCTACTTCGAATATGTTGTATCACCCTTACATCATCTGTTTCCGGTATATGTCAGAATATGATTTCATGAAAAATGCGAGTTGTTCATTGCAACAGTCACTAAATATCAGTTTCGGGTTTCGACCACGTAGTAGGTGACCTTCGCCCGACTTGGCTCGTCAAATTCGGCGTCTAGTCGAATTTCGGTGACATAAAATCCGACCACCTCCCGTCGTCGGAGCGTCTGTTGGCAGCGAGCCAGCCTGGCTATTTCTGTGTCCGGTCACATGTTCCCTGGCGGCGGCTGGTCGAGCCTCGGTCGGGTCACTGACGACTGGGCGGTGTTCTCAATGAAAGTTGTCGATTGGTGGATGATATAATGATTTTTTTTTCGTTATGGAAGTACATTTCGTCAGATTCAGTGCTTAAGGTTTTAATGTTGTCGTTTGATGGTTACTGACGTTTGGTGCCACAAGCTGAAGCTGTTCGTCTCGTACATCAATCCAATGGCATTTCAGAATATTAAGCACCGCGGTAAGACTTGGTGTTCGACATTTGATCGACTCCACCACCCGCCCCAAATGCGTGTGCCAGTGTTGATACCTCACCAGCCGCCACCAGACCTTTGTTTTGTTGGGCTAGGCTCTTTTAGTCTGTCGAGACTATTTCAAAGCCGGAAGGATGATAGGAATTAGGGTGAGACATTGGTCTTGGCGAGCACCCTAGTGAGTCGTCGGGGCTGAGCCCATCCAGTGGACAGGCCACCCAGTTCCCGGCCCGTAACACTCACTGCACCCGACTACGGGTGTGCTCCTATGGAAGCTTCCCGCACGGGATAAAGTTGCCCGTCCAGCCCGGAGCAGGGGGTTGAGGCGTAGGGAGAAGGATTTGACTATCCTGAGGATAGAAAAGACGGAAGGGTGTCCAGTGCCGTCAGAACTGAGAATGGTGACCCTACAACGATTGACGTGAGTTTGCCGCGAGTGACGTTCGCCGTCAGTGGGTGACGAGTGCCGTCAGCGGACTGACGTGCCTCCCTCTGCTCCCCAGGTTGAGGGCGCCTCCAAGGGCTACTTCTCCGAGGTTTCCGACGTGGACGTCTCAGAGGGGGCTGATACCGCTGACCTCTCCGACGAGCTTACGCCATAGTGTCCCGGGCTTCCGTAGACGTCGGTAGGGGCGGCCGGTGCCGCCAGCGCCGCCTGTGGGCTGTAACAGGTACTAGCAATGCAATGATTAGCCGATAGGGGCGAGCGGCGCGCGTACGTTACGTATCGTAAGGCGGGTTCGGTGTCAGGAGGGCAACTAGGCGACGCCTGGCTGGCTGGTACTTAGGGACGAGCCTCCCAGTCATTGGTTGCTTTGTTTTCAATAAGTAACGGGCTCAAGGAGGCTAATTTATTCATCGTTGAAGCATAATGTGCAACTCAGTAGCGGGTTAGCGCTGCCGCTGCAAGCTTGCCATGCTGGGCGTCATTGTAGTCATTTTGGGTGTGCTATCTTGCCGGATATGCAATATATGCAGAGATTGTTCGCGGTGTAGTGGTCTCCAGTGCCTTATGTGTGCCGTTGGGCTCAGAGCTGTTGTGGAAGGCGCACCTGGAACGACTCCGCTGCACTGAAACTGGCTGGTTGTGCTGTGTCGTAGATTTAGGCTGAGATGTGTTATGTGAAAAGGCCGACTTGTGTAAGATGCTCCAAAGCACATGCTTTCAAATTAATGTTATGTAAGCAATTGTATTTTCGCTGATGTGCGTTTCAAGTTATAACAGCCAATTCGGGTAAAATCCTCTCGTCACTGCGTTCGTGGTTCGGCGGAAACGTGAACACTCCTTTTTGTCGCCACAGCAAGTTGGTCATTTTGTTCACCGGGGCTAGTTGATATCCTGCCAAAGGTGCCGCGCCGTCCCGGTCGTGGGGTGTGCGGGCGCATAAGTCAGTCACCAAGACGGACTGCACTTTGTCTTTCTGTGCGGTTTGTGACTGTGTGCGAACGCTGCTATAGTGAACCGCGCCATGTTGGAATGGCCGAGCTTCGCAGTCACTGTCCAACTAGCAGGGAGTCCGATTATACCGTACGCTCGTATATACTCGCCTGAATATATGTCTGTGTGAAAGGAATGCTGTCTCAGTCAGTCTGCGCGATGAACTCGAGTTCTGCTACTGGTACATACCTATATACGGTAGGCATTGCAGAAACAAATGTAGGTTTTGTCATATACAACGTACGCTACGCGGAAGTTTTTCAAATTTCAACGGACTAGCAACATGCGTAGCGCAGTGCGTATGGAAGCTCGAGCTGGCAATCCAGTCAGCTGACGTGAAGCTGCTGATTGGCATCTTGGTTTTGTCATTTCACCACTTAACCCGCGCAACGAGAGGGGGCGGCTGTCCGACCCCCCCCCCCCCAAGCCTTTGCGAATAGCGGAAAAACAGCGGCACGTAGCGCCGCGAAATTTGGCACGAGTTTTCCCTCATCAATTTAACACATGGAATGCAAGTTTGAACCTCTTGCCTCTCAAGATCAGGTCACCTGGTCACTTCGGATGACCCAACCTCCAATCACTTTTTTTTTGCAATTTTGTCACCGTGTCAGAGCTACAGCAGATGACGGAGGCCTTTGAAAGTCGGAGGATGTAATGAGGTCATGGATGGCTGCAATTTGTTTATCTCGGAATTTTGATATCGATAACCTGAGGTCAGGTCAATTTCTTGACCTCCACATTATAAGTCAATGGGGGGGGGGGGGGAATCAATCCCCTGTTTTCCCCCTAAAACGAGTCGGAATGGCCCGATATACCATGAGTCACTTCATATACGATCAACCTTGACTACCTTGTGCCCTTTTTTGCTCTTGGCCAGCTGTAAGGTCATGTGACGTCATCAATGGTCACCAAATGTTTTTGCTAATAACTCTTTACAGGAACAAGATACAGCCACGCGGATGGTCTCATTGTGTTCAGCTCGTCAAGGCGCATCGAATGATATGCATGATGACCTCGAGGTCACGTGACCTGAGGTCAACCTTCGACCTTGACCTTTCGAGGTCAACACATATGGCTCGATGCGGATTGACGAGAGGATCACGATGGTGCCATTAGTTTCTCCCTAGCTTGGCTACTTCGAAAGATATTCGAGAAAAAACTGTTCATTTCTAGAGCAGTTATTTTGACTTTTTTACCCCTGTGACGTCATCTTTGACCTGACCTGAAAATGACATTTGTAAAAAATTTTAGACCTTGTCCGTGCATATCCCATGCCGTTTACTGCTTGTCGCTATCTTGCTTCGTTTTCGAGATCTCAGGGGAGGGGGTCAACCGCCCCCCGTCGGTTCAAAGTTCACCAAACCCCCGTCGGTGCGCGGGTCATTAACCCTCGCCGGCCGAGGGGGGGGGGCGGGTGCCGCCCCCCCCCATAGGGTTTTTTCGCGATAGCTCCGAACACGCTGGCGATAGACAGCTGAAACTTGGCATACCTGACCTTTGATCCAAGCCGCATCTTTTGACACCAACCGCATTTTTGGGTCAGGTCAGGTCACTGACCTATGACGTCATAAGTGAACCTCTGCACGGTCATCAGATGTCGCAACTTCGCAACGCCCTCACTGCCAGAGGAGATGTCACAGGGAAATGAAACTTGCAGGATCTAGTATCCATTATGAGTCTCACAACTTGTATATCTCGGATTTTTCCTAAAGGTCATATGAGGTCAGGTCATTTTCGTGACCTCACCATTATAAGTCAATGGGGAAAAATGAAAACTGCTATTCTGGCGCCGGGAACGATCTCCAACTATCTCAAGCACACAGAATCGTGATTTGATGCACTCCTTGCAAGGTCAGATGCGTCACTTTTGCACAGAGGTGAATAAAACTCAAAAGCTGTCACCTACGCGATGTCTAGCTGTCGGCAATTTTTCACAAGTCATATTGAAACAGAAGGTACCATTTTTTGCCGTTTTCTCATCACCTTTGAGGCCAAGAAAGTAAATTTGAAAATGAGGCTAGAATGTTAGAAATAAACTTATCTTTCAAATTTCAGACTCTGGGCATCACAACGCATCACCATATTTCAATACCTAGTTACACAACAAAAAATAAATCACTATCACTAAACTTACCTATAGGTCTGATCGACTTCCTATAGCTCGTCCTGGCTTCCTGATCCAGTTCAATCAGAACTCACGAAAGGATTGTCAGTTGTCACTGATTCATTTGTCTTTGCTTCAGTAGTCAAGACCAATTATCAACGCTCCTACCAAGTTTCTAGGACCGATGGTCATGGACCTCGCACCAGTTGTGGCCCAGATGTGACGTCCCCCGTCCCCAGTCGCCCGGTCCCTCCCTACTCCGTCGGCGGCCAAGGCCGCGTCGGTCCCCGCCTCCGCTCAACCGGCGACGAGCGGGGACGAGCTGTCGCGCTGTCGCCGTTTTTCCTGCGTTGTCTATGGCGCTTCACAACGCACCGGCTGTCGCACCGGCGGGATTTTTCAGCCCCAGCTGTCTACAAAGAGACGACGCTGTTAAATTTTTGTGCCGTGGTTCATAGTGGTCTTCTATGGGAAGACAGCTCTGATTGTAGCGGAAACGGCCTAGTTATCTACTTTAAATGCATCAACTGAGATGCTCGAATCTGTCTGTTTATTCCTATGGCTGTCGCCTACGCACGCAGGCGAGTAGCAGGGTTTTTTTCACCTCTGCTTTTGCAATGTTGACCTTGCGTGACGTCATTTATGACGTCATCAAGGTCATATTAGTTTTTCGTCAATAACTCTTGATCAAATTGAGCTAGCGAGACGAGAAAGCCACCAATGGACTCAGGAAGACCTGCCGAATCGAATGATATGCGACATGACCCCTTTCGACCAACTTCGTGACCTGGGGGTGCTGACTGCTGACCTGACCTTGACCTGAGGTCAACATCCCAAGTTGACCTGACCCGGACAAAAAGTATATCATTCGACGCGCCTGAGCGAGGCGAACACGATGCTGCCAAAATCGCGGCTCTGCGGCCGTTTTTTGCGAAGTTATTCACCAAAAACTGAACCGTACCCTGGGGCACTTGACCTGACCTCAGAGGTCACCGGTTGACCTAGGACCTTAAAATCGGGTACCAATCTCTGCGTCTCGTAACGGCGCACACGCTCGTTTTTTCCGCGACGCGCTAGCTCCACCAGGGGCGAAATGGCGAGGGGGGGGTCGTACCCGCCCCCCCCCCCCTCGGCCGGCGCGTATGTAGAAAACCAATAGGTCCGGCGAGGGTTAACCCTCGCATGTGTGCGGCGTTTGCCAGCTTCTAATGTGTAGGGGGGGGGGGTCGGTTGGACCCCCCCCTTGCCGTTTGGCCCCTGATCGAGCTAGAGCTTCGCGGAAAAAACGAGCGTGTTGCCCGTGACGAGAGGAAGCCGATGATACCCAATTTTAAGGTCCTAGGTCATTGGTTGACCTTCCAGGTCAGGTCAATGACCCGAAAACCGGGAAAATCGGGACCTGTTAGAAGTCGTAAAGTGTGGCTGCTGAGGGGTTTTTCGGGGTGCTGATCACGAATATCGTGTTAGTTTTGATCACAGATGATGTCTTGAAGCATTTAGACCAGGTCGGGTCAGGTCAGGTCAGGTCAACCAGTAGGCGTCGTGACGGGTATTCGTAGTACGTGTCAACCGCCTCTGACAGCTTCGTAACATGTTACGAAGTCACCAAAACTACTTCGTAAATGTTCAAATGGTTGCTAAATTCGAATTCAGCTCCAAACACTAGCCAAGAAACATGTAAAACTCGAAAAAGTGACCCGAGGTCACCCGAGGTCACCAAAGGTCAATGACCTGACCTGACCTTCAGGTGACCTTGACACACACGGGAGTAACATCAAATCACATGTTTGAACGTTTGAAACCACGAAAAGCTTACAAACACGCGGCTAGTGCGAGCCGACATACGCGAAATCGCGATTCCGGCCAAACATGGTCTCGGAAAAGAGGTCACAGGTCAAAGGTCATTTGGGTCAGGGTCATGAAATTTTCAGGGTAGGTGTAAAATTGATCAATGCGAGGGTACTGAAAGTTTCGCCGCGATCGGCCGCTTTTTACGCGAGTTATTCGCGAAAAACCATGGGGGGGGGGGGGTCCATCCGACCCCCCCCCCCCCCTACACATGCGAGGGTTAAAGCTGACTCTTAGCATTTTCAACCATTATGGTTCGTTATCTCATTTCCAATAAGGTGTAACGACTAACGGGTCGTAAAATGCTTAGCGCCTGGGGCCCTGGGCTTCTGTGCTCATCTGCCAACATTATGAAGCAGCTTCGATAAGTGAAGAACTGAGATAGGATTTTTATTCTTGCTGTGACGTCGGAACGTCGTAGAACAATAGACGCGTTTACATAGGGTTTGTTGGAAGCTTATATCTCCGTTCGTGATGTTGCAAAAGATGCCAATGGTGCTTGACAATTTACAAAACGATCCCCTCTAAATATTTGAAGACCACTGCAACGAAATTATCGCCAAATTAACGAGCTAGAGGCTAGAGCCTCGTCAAATACAATGGTGCAATTATAGTCACCGTGGTCAAATATGCTATGTAAACCGGGTTAATGGGATTCATGAATAAAAGCTGCATCTCCCTCACAAACCGTATGAATTAATTTTGCCATTACCTTTTCTTTTCAGGTTATTTATTCATCATGTTATCTTGTTGAAAACAAAAATGAATAGATATTTTTCAAGCAAAGCATCTTGGGTTATTAAAAGGACACCAATAAACGTACAACGGCCCACAGGAAATGCTAAAACATCATTCGTTACTGAGTATTATAATTTAGCACTCACGTATTAAATTATAATTTTCCTTCCAACTACATATTACCGTATGTACCTGTAAATGCATACCATTTTTTATACAATATCATCACTTTCTCTGTCTTTCAACAAACAATAATTTCCTATGAGGGTAAATTTTGAAACTTTACAGAAGAAAAGCGAATTGATTTTGGGTTTAGGGCTATTTTCACTTTACAAGTAATAGTGATGGAGCACAAGCAAGTACTTGTGGTGAATTTTGCCGGTCTTTGGTTTTTCTTTACCAGGCATGAAAATATTGCCTTGCAGTTTGATGATTTTACAGTCTTT